GGGTCGGGAGGTGGCCTGGGCAGGCCGGCCCGGGCAGGACGGGGCGGCAGGGCTCTGGCTGCGGTGGGCGCTGCTGGGTGGGGTGGGCAGGGCTGACCCGTGGCCCCTCCACAGACGCCATCCCCATGATGCTGGCCTGCGAGGACCGGCCAGTGCTGCAGGCCACCTTCCTCAGCAACAACTGCTTCGAGCACCTCATCCGCCTCATCCAGAACAGCAAGGTGGGCGGCCGGGCGGGGGTGCTGGGCCTGGACGCGGAGGGGGAACCACGTGTGGGTGTCCAGATGCTCGCGAACACACCTGGGCCGCACCGGCTGGAGGGACGAGCTGGTGTGATGCCTGCAGCACAGTAGGGGTCCTGCAGCTGAGGATGGCTCTGTGCCCACAGGAGGGGGTGCTGTGGAAGGACAGGAGCTGCCCTGGTCCCCTGTTTTCCCTTTCCCCAGCCCCAGGTCCGGGGCAGGAGGATGGTCGGCGGTTTGGATGCAGTGCCTGCTCCTGTCCATTTAGCCGCCCGACTGCCCCTCTGAGCAGGGCATGGGGCGCAGCTTCCCTCCCCTTCTCTAGGGCCTGGGGGCGCTCAGCCTGGGCTCAGGGTGCGTCCTTCCCTCTAGGGCCAGCCCCCGCAGCTGCCATAGGCCCTGCTCTAACCCTGCGCCTCCCTCATCTCCCTTCTCTCTCCTCTGCCTCCTCCACCTTGTGCCCTCCCCCTTCCCCACAGCTATACCTGCAGGCCCGGGCGCCCCCTGAGGGGGACAGTGACCTGGCTACCCGGTTACTGACCGAGCCCGATGTCCAGAAGGTACCGCCCTGGGGCTGACCCGCTCAGGCACGCACCTCCCTGGGCACCCACCCCGGGCTCCCCAGCCCTTCCTGCACTCTGCGGGGGGTGAGCCGACAGGAGGAGGCGTGGCCTGGCAGCGGGGCTGGGTGTCCCAGGCTGTCTCACCTTCTTGCCACGTCCCTGGCTAAGGGGACAGGGCAGGGGTGACCGGGGTCCTGCCTAGCATTGCTTCTGGGCGCTGGGGTTTGGCTGTGCCAAGCCGGAGGGAACCTTCGAAACCCAACCACTACACCCATTCCCAGAGGGAAACGGAGCCCAGTAGATAGGCAGGGATTTGGCTGGTCGTTCCCGGAAAGGGAGGTCCCCCGCGTGGCGCCACTTTTCTCCATGGATCCTTGCACCTGCTCTGGGCAGGTCACTGGGAGCCCCCCTTCTGCCACCCCCTCCTGAGGTGCCCCCCCCACCGGCCTCACCTGGCACCAGGCCGGGAAGCTCAGGGTATCAGGGGCTCCACATGGGGCGCCCTCTGGTGGCTCAGTGCCTGGGCTCCAGCCTTCAGGGCCCCTCCCGAGGCAGCCCCCTGTGTCTGTGGCCTCGGCTGCACCATGAGAGCCTGCATGTCCGTTCAGCGGCGAGGCAGGCAAGGCCCTGGTCGCTATAGATGAGGAAACAGCCCGCAGAGGGTCAGGAGGTGCCCGGGTCACTAGGAGGATCAGGCAGAGCTGGGAGCACCTGCTGACCAGGTCCCCAAGCCCTCCTGCCCCTGCCCCTCAGGCTAGGGCAGGGCGAGTGAGCAGCACGCCTCGGCCCTCGGGTCAGCAGGGTGAGCCTGTGTCCCCACGTGGACCTGGTGGGCAGGGCCAGGGGCAGACTCCAAGGTCTCGAAGGTTCTTCTGGTTCTAACATTCTGTGATGATTGCCCTCCATTCCCCGGCCCCCTGTCAATCATCTGGGTGGTGGGCACTTGCTGGCCTGCCTGCACGTGTGTCTGGCGTGGGTGGGAATGGGTGGGCTGCGGCTCATAAGCTTCCCAGCCTTGGCCCTTCCCTGGCCTCTTGGTCAGAGTGGCTCTTGCCAAGCGGCTCAGAGAGGGCCCTGGGATCCGGGGGGCGGGGACACCGCAGTTCGGTGAGGAGTAGAGGGCCTCCTGCCG